GTGAGGGACCAACCCTGCAGCACCCCAGCTACTCTGCCCCAGACATCCCCAAGTCAGCCACTGGTCAGTTTCAGCAGCGGCTGAATCGGGGAAGCCGGGGGCAGAGCAACTCCAATTGTCCGGCTGTCCGGAGCACTTCTGGGTTCCAGATGATGCCGGACCATCAGGAGTGCCAGACCACTGGACGCTGGACCACTGGAGTGAGGGACCAACCCTGCAGCACCCCAGCTACTCTGCCCCAGACATCCCCAAGTCAGCCACTGGTCAGTTTCAGCAGCGGCTGAATCGGGGAAGCCGGGGGCAGAGCAACTCCAATTGTCCGGCTGTCCGGAGCACTTCTGGGTTCCAGATGATGCCGGACCATCAGGAGTGCCAGACCACTGGACGCTGGACCACTGGAGTTTTACTGTAATCAATACATATGTGAATTTAAGTTTTGGAGTTGGGTTATTTAGATCTTTGAAAGTTATAACTAATAGGCCTTCATTCTACCGACTCATCAAAGCTACCAAGTAGTATGCTATAGCATACCGATCAGCAAGTAAAAGGACTCTGGGTATAGAAAATGTTATAAACAAAGAACCATCAAATTTTATTTTTAAAACAAGATCTGCATATCTTCTAAGGAAGTTTAATATACCATTAGATCAGATTTGATAGTGGATTTACAACTATTTTAATCATACTTTTTCAGGGCCAAGTTTCCAAAAACTAGACAGCAAGGTAACCGACAGTATATGCTGCAGAATAGCTAATATGAAGCTTAGCATATTGATTAATTGACTAACAGAGTTAGAATCATTTTTGAGTTTTGTTTCAGGATCCTATTGAAGCAGAATAGACTTCGACTGTCTATCTGCAACAACTTCAAACTCATCGGTTGGTACTTTTAGCAGCAGTGCTTGCAAGTAAACTTATTTCAGACAACAAAGTTATCACTAGAAGCAAAAGATTTCAATGATCCAAAAATATTGCCACCATTGATGGGTTTGTAGTCAGGAACAACAAATATCACCAAGATACCATAGATTACTCAGTTCTATTTATGAAGAGATTACTCAGTTCTATTTATGCCACAAATTCTGCTTTTTACATTGTTAACAATGAATACCTTCACTGATATGGATGAGTCTTTATGACCAGGT